AAGGAAATTTATCACAATTCAGAAAAAATTAGTCAATTAGCCCAAATTAAAGTTGGTGGTTGAGTAAAATCAGTTCGAGAGGGAAAAGAAAAAGTTTTTATTACTTTAAATGACGGTTCAACTCTGAAATCTCTGCAATTAGTTATTTCGCAAAAAAATTTTTCGCAAACTGACTTGCTAAATAAAGTAAATTTTGGCAGCAGTTTATTGGTCTCTGGTTGCTTAGTTCTTACTCCGGAACGGCAACAACCTTGTGAATTAGTGGTTGAAAGAATTGAGTTAGTTAATCCCAGTATTAGTGACCTTGATTATCAAGAAAAAAAAATAATCCCTTGAATCAATAGTGGAGTTCTGACTAATCTTTATTTTTTAACTGAATACACTGAACCCAGCAAGTATATAAGCGAAAAAGTTAAAATGGAATATAAATTACCAGAAGTTCAACCACAAGGCGTGCTCATTTCTGACCTAGATCTTAACTCAGAAAAGATAGTTTGAGTCAGCCCGCCCCCACAAATAGGAACGGATGTTTGACAACTTTTAGGAACGGATGTTTGACAACTTTTAGGAACGGATGTTTGTGCTAACGCTACCCTCTTTTTTGCTTTACGACAAGTTAATTTTTCTCGCTATGCTTCGGGAAGCATTATTAATCACTTACAGAGGTCGGTTCTGGTGAAATTACAAATTGACTGAGTAAATAATCCCAGCATGCAAAAATACTTCCTCACTCTTTTAAACTCCCCTTTGGCGAAAATAAAAAATTTACATAGTAAAATAAAAAATTTACATAGTAAAATAAAAAATTTACTATTAAGGAAGTATTTTGGATAGAAGAGTGCTGGAAATATTAAATAATCTTGTTGACGATTTAAGAAAAAACGGTTGAAAAAACTTACTGTTGGATAGAAAACATGCTAATTTGGTTGTTGACGAGAGCCAACTATTAAAAAAATTGTCGGAAATAAATCGGCAAACCCCTCTTGATTTTATCCAGAAATATGCTAATGAATTGCAGGAAAATTCAGAAATTTCGCTTTTCTTTGCGAATAAAAGGGTATTCAATTTAGTTCGGCAAGGCAAAGATTATGGACAATACAAAATAAAATTTTTTCATTCGGAGTGAGCAAAAAATGACTTTAATTACTTAGTTGACTTTCCCCTGCAATCTCCCAATCGACAGCATACCTTCTCTCTTGATTTACTCTTGTTTGTTAATCATTTACCATTGGTTGTCCTAGTTATTCGGGAAAGCAAACAAAAGGCTTTTCAAGCAATCACAGATTACCAAAAATTTTTACCCCAACTTTATAAATATAATTTTTTTAGTATTTTACGAACACCAACCAATGATTTTGTAGGAGTAATCACTGATGAAATTACCAATTATCTAGCATGAAGGCCAAATATTCAACAATTACTCTCACCAAAAAATTTAATCAATGTTCTTAATAAATACATAACTTTCCGGCGAGCAGAAGAAAGAAAAATTTTGGCTCGTTATTATCAATATTCGTGTTCCGAGAAGATTTTAACTTCAACCAAAGAGAAAAAACAAAAAGGAGGAGTGATTTGACATACTACTGGTTCCGGAAAGTCTTTGACTATGGCTTTCTCGGCAGCAATAATTTTGTCTGAATATCCCCAAAGCACGATTTTTTTAATTACTGACCGCCAAGAATTGGACCGACAACTTTACGGATTTTTT